GAGGGGGGAGCCGTCGCTGGTGAGGGCGCCTTTGAAGACTTTTACGGCGACGGGTAGATCTACGTCTGGGGTTTTGGCTTGGTCGGGGGATGGGGATGGGGAAGAAGAGCGTTTCCATATGCCTTTGGAGATGACACCACTGGCACCTTCTCCAAGCACATGTTGAATCTCCAAATCCTCCCACGCAATGTCCTCCAACACCGTTTCATCCCCTCCACTTCCATTCCCACTTCCATTTCCACCTCCACTCCCACCTCCCCCAACTAAACACGGATTCCCCGCCCAACTCAAAAAGCTCAACTCCGGCAACCCCCACACCCACTCCGGGACCTCCCCCAACTGATTCCCACTAAGCCTCAACAACCCCAACTTCCTACACCTGCTCATCTCCCCCGGGAGCCCCCTCAGTCGATTCCCGGCCAGCATGCATTTCTGCAAGCCGGCACACAGCCCAATACTCTTCGGCAGCTCCTGCAGCCGATTATCCGTAAGGATCAACCACCGCAGCTTCCGCGGGAACGCGTGCTCCGGGATCGAGACCATGCCATTGCTCTTGAAGGCCACCATTTCCAGGGACCGGCATTGCGACAGGGCGGCGGGGAAGGTGGTGAAGGCGCAGGAGGAGAAGAAGGCGATTTTCAGCTTGTGCAGGCGGGCGATGGAGGCGGGGAGGTGGGAGAGCGAGGGGTTGTTGGAGAGGTCGAGGTGCGTGAGCGTGTCGAAGGGGGAGAGGAGGGGCAGGGGGAAGGTGAGCAGGGTGCCGGTCGAGATTTTGATCTTGGTGGTGCCTTTGGAGATGGTGAGGGCTTCGGTGGTTGAGGGTGAGGAGCTCGCTTTCGTGTGAGTAGGGAGGGGAGCGTGGGCATGAGTATTGACCGTCATGGTGGGTGGGTGCGATTGCGATGTCCTGTTCAATCTCCTCGTTCGTATCCTCGTAATAGACAATGCTTCACTCCTCTTTAAACGAAAGACTGAAAACGCGCTCGACTACTCGGTATATCTAGGAATTCGAATTCCTTATCCAGGAGGTAGTAAGGTACAGTACAGTAGTGAGGTATCTCCACTTCCCTCCCTTATCGAAGCACGTGTCCGTCCGGTCCGCCTCAAAGAACCGGAATATTTAATGCGGGCCGGCCAACATGCCATGACATGCCGAGATGTATTATTTTATTTTTAGAAAGAGGGGTTGATAGGAGCCTCAATCAAGGAAAGATATATATAGCTTTTACTTTAAGCCTCAATCTACG